AAGGTGCAAATATCTCCAGTCATAGACTCATAGGGTTGTACAGCACAGAAACAGACCCTTCAGTCCAACTTTCCTGTGCCAACCAGATATCCTAAACCGACCTAGTATCATTTGCCAACATTTGGCCCATTTTCCTCTAAATACTCCCTATTCATATACCCATCAAGATGCCTTTTAAATGTTGTAATTGTACCTGCCTCTACCACCTCCTCTGGCACCTTGTTCCAGACACTCATCACCCTCTGTGTGAAAAAGTTGCCCCTTAAGTCCCTTTTTATATCTTTCTCCTCTCACGTTAAACCAATGCTCTCTAGTTTTAGGCTCCCCTATCCCAGGTAAAAAGACCTTGGTTAGTCACCCTATCCATGTCCCTCATAATTTTATAAACCTCCATAATGTCACCCCTCAGCCTCCAATGCTCCAGGGAAAATAACCCCAGCCTATTCAGCCTCTCCCTATAGTTCTTTTCATGAATTACCTTTGTTCTATCATAAAGAAGGAATTCAAAATGTTCACTAATGATTGCACAATGTTCAGCACCATTCACGACGCTTCAGATACTAAAGTGGACCACGTCCTAAGACAGCAAGACCTAGGCAATATCCAGGCTTGGACTGACAAGCGGAAAATAGCATTTGTCACACAAGGCATGAAATATAGGCATTCCATGCCTATAAGGCACAAGTCAGGAGTGTGATGGAATACTCCCCACTTGCCTGGATGGTTGCAGCTCCAACAACACTCAAGAAGCTCAACACCATCCAGGACAAAGCAGCCGCTTGATTGGCACCACGTCCACAAGCATCCGCTCCCTCCACCACCGACACTCAGTAGTAGCTGTGTGTACCTTCTACAAGATGGATTGCAACAACTCACTGAAGCTCTTTAGACAGCACCTTCCAAACCCAAGACTCCTAGCACCTTGAAGGAGAAAGGCAGCAGAGAGATGGGAACATGGATATTCCTTTCCAAGCCACTCAATATCCTGACTTGGAAATATGTCACTGTTTGTTTGCTATCACTGAGTTAAAATTCTGGAAGTGCTTTGCTGCCAGCATTGTGAGTGTACATTCAATGCTGGCCTAGCTAGTGACACTCACTCTGTGAAGGAACATAAAATTAAACTTGCTGCCTTTAATTTCTTCTGGTAGTTATAACTTTATATGCTGTTACCATCTGTATACTGCAAATGGACATGACCTTTGTGAACCTTTTGACTAATGTGCAAGGCACAACTACTATCCAAAGAAATTCACAGTACTGCATCTGATAAGGGATCACACCTCAGTATTTTTTCCATTTCTGTTACCAATTAGTGTCCTTAAACAAAGCTAGAAATTACTGTTGGTACTGAGGGGAGATGCATGTTGATGACACTTGTAAAACATTTCTCTCTCTGCTTTTTCAGTGGAACAGTTAAACTATTTAAAACAACTCAATTAATTCATCAGCCAACCACAGAGCAATGATTTGAATATGTTAAGCATGAGTCAGCCATCATCTAGCAGCAAAATCTATCCAATTTCTTTCTCCTTCTAAAACAATCCCTTGTGTTCAAGGATGACTTGTTCCACTGCAGTTCAATGGGTCTGAGATGGCAAGTAAACCTAATATCCGATGTGTTCAACCTGCCACATCTGGGTTAGCCGGTGTTTGAAAGGCCATGGGGATGAGCTATTGGGAGGTTTGTGTGTTGTCTCCAATGCCTCAACATTGCCACTTCAAGTTCCCAAACAAAGTTTCTCAATATCTTCATCCGCTTCACACTCCCGACCAACCCTTCCACCACACCCAGCACCTTTCCATGCAACCGGAAGAAGTGCTACACCTGCCCCTACTCCTCACCTCTCACCTCCATCCAAGGCCCCAAACAATCATTCCAAATCTGGCAGAGACCTGTACATCTTCAAACCTTGACTATTGCAACCGTTGCTCCCAATGTGTTCTCCTCTAAATGAGAGAGACCAAGTGCAGCTGCACTTTGTATGCTCCAATCAACACCACCTTCTGGTTTCCAGCCATTTCAACTCCCCTTCCCACTCCCTGGGTGACACGTCCACCCTGGGCCTCATCCACTGCCACAATGAGGCCACACATAAACTGGAGGAACAACACCTTATATTCCGCCTCAGGAGCTTACAGCCTAATGGCCTCAGCGTAAAGTTCAACAGCTTCAAAATCTCCCCATCCCCAGGTGTTCAGACGAATGAGGGGGGATCTCATAGAGACTTATAAAATTCTAACAGGACTGGAGAGGGTAGATGCAGGGAGGATGTTCCCGATGGTGGGTGTGTCCAGAACCAGGGGTCACAGTCTGAGGATTCGGGGTATACCATTTAGGACGGAGATGAGGAGACATTTCTTCACCCAAAGAGTGGTGAGCCTGTGGAATTCATTACCACAGGAAGTAGTTGATGCCAAAACTGAATTCTGAGGAAGGGTCACTGGACCCGAAACATTAACTCTGTTTTCTCCTTCACAGATGCTGCCAGACCTGCTGAGCTTTTCCAACAACTTTGTTTTTGTGATTGATTAGGGATAGTCAATATGGCTTTGTGAGTGAGAAATTGTGTGTCACTAACTTGATTGAGATTTTTGAAGAAGTGACAAAGAAGGTTGACAGAAACATAGCAGCAGGATGAGGCCACTCGGCCCTTCAAACCTGCTCTGCCATTCTTCACAAGCATGTCTGATCATCCAACTCAATAGCCTGATCCTGCTTTCTCCGCATAGCCTTTGATCCCAATCGCCCCAAGTGCTATATCTAGTCACCTCTTGAATACATTCAATGTTTTGGCATCAACTACTTTGTTTTTGTTCCTGATTTACAGCATCCGCAGTTCTTTCAGTTTTTATCTCAAATTAGTCCTTGACTTTGGTGTGAAGAGCAAGTTGGTAGGTATAGGAAATGCTGGATGACCAGAGAAATGAGGCTCTTGTCAAGAAAAAGAAGGAAGCATATGTCAGGTATAGACAGCTGGGATTGAGTGAATCCCGTAAAGAGTATAAAGGCAGTAGGAGTATACTTAAGGGGGAAATCAGGAGGGCAAAATGGGGACATGAGATAGCTTTGGTAAACAGGATTAAGGAGAATCCAAAAAAATTCTATAAATACATTAAGGACAAAAGAGTAACTCGGGAGAGAATAGGGTCCTTTAAAACCGCAGGAGATGGGTGAGATACTAAACAAGTATTCTGCATCAGTATTTACTGTAGAGAAGGACATGGAAGCTAGAGAACTATGATAAATAAATAATGATATTCTGAAAAGTGCCCATATCACAGACGAGGAGGTGCTGGATGTCTTACAGCACATAAAGATGGATAAATCCTCAGGACCTGATCAGGTGTATCCCACAACTCTGTGGGAAGCTAGGGAAGTGATTGCTGGACTCCTTGGCGAGATAGTTGTATCATCAATTAGCCACAGGTGAGGTGCCGGAAATCTGGAGGTTGGCTAACGTGGTGCCACTATTTAAGGTAGGTGGTAAGGAAAAGCCAGGGAACTGTAGACTAGTGAGCCTGACATCAGTGGTGGGTAAGTTGTTGGAGGGGATTCTGAGGGACGGGATTTACATGTACAAAGGTGAGGACTGTCAAAATGAATAATTTTCTTGTACATATGTATATCCCATTGCGTGTGCAACAATGAAAGCAAATCGAACACACAGAAACACCAGCCTACCTGATTGTAATAAATTCCGTACCACCCATGATTTCAGTCATTTTTCTACCTAATTTGCAATACCTGATCAGAACAACCCTGAACAAATTCCCAGAGTTGACCTACAGGAAGAGGATTGGAGATATATTTTGGGTCTAAAGTAGCTCCAGGCTGTCTGCAGTCTGGCATTTAGAGTTAGTTGCATTCCTATTGATTAGTAATATTGTTTAGAATACATATGGCTCTCTACAACATTTCTCTCTACAACAACTTACATTTACATATATAGTGTCTCCAGGATATTGGAGAGGTGATGGCCTAGTGGTATTATCGCAGGAATGTTAATCCAGAGACCCCAGGTATTGTTCTGGGGCCCTGAGTTCAAACCTCACCACAGCAGATAGTGGAATTTGAATTCAATAAAAAAAAATCCAGAAGACTTTGTCCTATGACAACCATGATTCCACTTTAAATTGTTGTAAAGCCCCCTCTGATTCGCTAATGTCCTTTAGGGAAGGAAACTACCATCTTTACCTGGTCTGCCCTACATGTGACTCCAGACCCACAGCAATGTGGTTGACTCTTAACTACCCTCTGGGCAATTAGAGTAATAAATGCAGACCTAGCCAGTGACACCCTCATCCTGTCAATGAATTTTAAAAGAACAAAAACAGGGAAAGGTGCTGCAAAAGAATGTAAATTTGACATCATTAACACAGAGCCAGAGAAGGTGATATTGGAACGGATGAAGCAAAAAGTCGGCCTGAGCAGTCCTACACAGGAAATCATGACCGCGAATGCTAGACTGCAGGATGGTGCCACATGCTGTTTACTGCAATACCAAAACAGCCACTGTGAACAAATATAACCAAACTGAAAAATCCTTTTATAGCTATAGAACTTAGCTAGACAATGCAACACTGCTTTACAATAACTAGAATCTGGATCATTTAGCCTTTGGCCTTTCCACTATTAACAGGATCATGGTATAATATCTACAACTTTTCTATCTGATCCTTCAAATCCCTCAGTGTCAAAACTCTGTTGATTTTGGTCTTGAATATACTCATTGACTGAACGTCTATAGTCCTGTGAGGTAGAGATTCCAGAAATTTACATCTCCCTGAGTGAAGAAGTTTCCCTTCGTTTCATTCTTAAATGGCTGACTCATTATCCTGATGCATGATTGTTAGGGTAGCATTGGCCCCACGGTGTATTTTTCTGGTAAGTGTCTGTGCTTAGACATGAAGAAGTGCTATTAGGATTTCCCATTGAGTATTCATGTATATCTCTCTCCTCCATCTCTCACTCACTGTTTTCTTGATTTTATCAATAGAATGCTACGTGTGATATTCAATATTCCTTCGACTATTGGATATTTTCAATTGTCTATCTCTTGGTGTTCTTCCTGGGCCTGCCCATAAACTGTGTCGCCCTTTACACAGCCTACAAGCAAGTGAGGCGCAAGAATGAACTGGGAGTATACCTCTTCAATCTGACTGTGGCTGATCTGCTCTATATATTAACCCTGCCCTTCTGGATCGATTTCACTATGAACCATGACAATTGGCGAGCTGGAGCTACCATGTGTCGTATCTGCTCCTTTTTGACCCACACAAATTTATATGCAAGCTCTGTCTTCCTGTGCTGTATTTCCTTTGACCGTTACCTCGGGGTGGTTCATCCTATGAAGTTGACTAGAGTCCGCACGGTGAGAGCAGCGATCGCAATCAGCTGTGTTGCCTGGCTCAGCCAATCAGCTTTCAATCTTGAACTGTTGATCAAACCAGAGATAGCCAATGAATCCACCAGTCACAAGTTGTGCTACGATATCTACCCCATCGAATCTTGGAAGGCAAATCTCAACTATTTCAGGATTTTCTTTGGATTCCTGCTCCCATTTGCTCTGATCTTCATCTTCTACTGGAGAATTTATAACTCGGTGAGGAGCAGTATTGCTACTCTGCGCCATGAAAAGAGAAGAGTGGTGAAGCTAATGCTGAGCATCACAGTGGGTTTCACCATCTGCTTCTTCCCCTACCATACGCTGCTGTTGGTCCGGAGCATCATGGAGAAGGACTGCACCTTCGTAAGCTACATCTTCATCCCTTACCGATTATCGGTGGCTCTCATCTGCATGAATTGCATCCTGGACCCAATCCTGTATTGTTTTGTGAATGAGACAGCACGCAGGGATATCCTACTTGTCATACTGTGCAGGAAAGGGACCAATGTCTATAGGGACAGAAAACTGCAATCCAACAATATGTCAGAGACTGTGATTCTTTAATAAAACAAAGAATGCTACAAACGCAGTATCTGTGGCAGGAGAAAACAACAGAGTTAATGTTTCAGAAAGAATGACCTCTTATCAGAACCAAAAGAAGTTAGAGATTGAACAGGTTTGAAACAAGATCAGATTTGGGTAAATGGAGGATTAGAAGGAAAAAGCATCAGACAATTCCAACATTCCAACATCAGTATATTAACACGCTGAATGCACTCTCCATTGGTTTGTAATTATGGAAAAGTGAAAGGAATTGTAGGATTCAGTTGTGTCATGATCGAGGTTAAGGCCGAACATCCCAATTTAGGAAAAGGCAACATTTAGCTTCTACAGCATGCAGTAACTCAAAGAGCTGGCCATTCACCACAAGCCCAATTAGCTGCCCAAAACAAAAACAGAAATTGCTGGAAAAGCTCAGTAGGTCTGACAGCATCTGTGGAGAGAAATCAGAGTTAACGTTTTGGGTCCAATGACCCTTCCTCAGAACTGATGGCAGCTAGGAAAATGTTGCTTTTTATGCAGAAGATAGGGTGGGGGGAGAGGGTAATGAGTATACAATAGGTGGGAACAGAGCCCAAAGAGAGAGAACAGTTGGACAGACAAAGGAATAGATAATGATCCGGTTAAGTGGGTGAATAGCTGTTAATGGGGACTGTTAGCAGCTAACAATGGGTTGTGTGTAATAGCAGACTGTGTGATGACAAGACTTGGTGTGCAGAGGTTTGGGTAAGGACATGGGAGACCTCAAGTCCAGGAATTGTCGAATTCAATGTTAAGTCCAGAAGGCTGTGGAGTTCCCAAGCGAAAAATGAAATGCTGTTCTTCCAGCTTGCGCTGACCTTCATTGCAGCAAGCCTGAGACAGAGATGTTGGCCAGGGAACAGGATGGTACGTTGAAGTAGCAGGCAACTGGAAGGGTCTATTTTGTGGGCAGAACATAAGTGTTCTGCGAAGCAGTCACCCAGTCTGTACTTTGTTTCACCAATGTAGAGGAGACCACATTGTGAACAGTGAATGCAGTAGACTAGGTTGAATCAAGTGTCCTTGGAAACTAAGGAAGGACAGGGGTTACACTTCTGCATTTGCAGGAGAAGGTGATATGGGGCCATGGGGAAGCATTGCCCAAAAAGCTGCTGGTTTGGTCAGCTGCTTGACACTACCTTCACCATCTTCTAACAAAAGGTTGGACAGGCTCGTTATATAGGATGAAGACGTGGCTGAAAGGATAGTGGAGGGGGAGGGTTTCAGATACATAGCGCATTGGGAACAGTTCTGGGGAAGATGAGTCCTGTACAAACTGGACGGGTTACACCTGGGCAGGACCAGGACTGATGTCCTTGGGGGGGATATTTGGCCGTGTGGTTGGGGAGGGATTTAAATCAGTGCAGGAGGGGGATGGGAACCAGAGGAGTATGGTAGTAGATGCAGAAATTGAGGGAGCAGTAGAAGGCAAAAATGACTAAGAATAAGAACAGGCAGGGAAACACTGCTCAAAATAGCGGGGTGGTGGGGGTGCGGGGAGTTGGTCTGAAATGCATGTGTTTCAATGTGAGAAGTATAATGGGCAAGGTAGATGACCTTAGAACTTTGGTTAGTACATGGAACTGTGACATTATTGCGATTACAGAGACTTGGCTGAAAGAGAGACAGGACTGGCAGCGGAATGTACCAGGATTTAGATGTTTCAGGTGTGATAGAAGGGGATGTAAAAGGGGTGGGGGAGTTGCATTACTGGTAAAGGGGTATCTCACAGCTGTACAGAGGAAGCGTACATCAGAGGACTTGTGCAGCGAAGCAATGTGGGTAGAATTCAGGAATAGGAAAGATGAAATCACAGGGATGGGGGTATACTACAGGCCTCCCAATGGCCAGCAGGAGATAGAGCAGAGAATATGTTGGAAAGATGTAAAAACAGCAGCGATGTTGCGGTGGGGATTTTAACATCCCCAATATCGACTGGGACTCACTGGGCTTGGATGGGGTGGAATCTGTAAAGACCTTTCAGGAGAGTTTCTTGATACAATATGTAAACAGTCCAACCAGGGATGGGGTTACACTGGACCTGGTTTTGGGAAATGAGCCCAGCCGGGTGAATGAAGTTTCAGTAGGGGAGTATTTTGGGAATAGTGACCATAATACTGTGAGTTTTAAGATGCTCATGGATAGGGATAGTAGCAGTTCTCGGGGGAAGGTGTTAAATTGGAGAAAGATGAACTACAACAATATTAGGCAGGAACTGGAGAATTTTGATTGGGGGCGGCTGTTTTAGGGTAAATCTACATCGGACATGTGGGAGTATTTCAAACTGCAGTTGTAAGAGTTCAGGAGCAGCACGTTTCTGTCAGAATGAAGGATGGGTTTGGGCAAGTTATGTGAACCTTGGATGACCAGGGATGTCATGACCTTGGTCAGAAAGGAAAAGGAAGGATACATGAGGTCTGGGAGGATGGGAACGGATGAAGCCCTTGAAGTATATAAGGAATGTAGGAAAGAACTTAAACAAGGAATTAGAAGAGCTTTAAAGGGTCATGAAAAGTCATTAGCAAACAGGATTAAGGAGAATCCTGAGGCTTTATATATATATAAAAAAAGCATGAGGGTAGCCAGGAAAAGGGTTGGCCCACTCAAGGACAAAGGAGGAAATCTGTGTGTGGAGCCAGAAGGGATAGGTGAGGTCCTAAATGAATACTTTGTGTCAATACTCACCAAAGGAATTGATGGGAGATGATCTCAGGGAAGGGAGTGTTGAGTTTCTAAGCCAAGTTGCTATTAAAGAGGAATATCCTTTATTGTCAACAGCAAAGTTGCTGGAAAAGCTCAGCAGATCTGTGAAGTAAAAAACAAAGTTAACATTTCGGGTCAGATGACCCTTCCTCAGAACTGATGAGGAATGGTCACCAGACCCAAAACGTTAACTCTGTTTTCTCCTTCACAGATGCTGCCAGACCTGCTGAGCTTTTCCAGCAACTTTGTTTTCGTTCCTCATTTACAGCATCCGCAGTTCTTTCGATTTATCCTTTATTGTCACGTGGATTGAATATAAAATACAGTGAAAAATGTGTACCGTCGCTATGCATAAGCACCATTCACATTAACTTAGAATAATGTGGAGGTGCTGGTGTTGGACTGGAGTGGGCAAGGTCAGAAATTACACAGCACCCAACACCAGATTATAGTCCAACAGGTTTATTTGAAAACACACTCACACTCTCACCCTGTCTCGCGCACACGCACACACACAGTCACTGTCTCTCTCCCACACACACACACACACACACTCTCTCTCTCTCTCACCTCCCCCCCACACACACACATTCACTATCTCTCTCCCTCACACACACAGAGACAGACACACACACACACGTGAATCTATGCAGTGAATTTGTATTTGCAGATGCATTCTATTTTTTTCAAAAAACACATTTTTTAGACAGTCAGTCAATGTGGCATTTTATAAATTCCAACTTTAGAAATAAAACCAGTCTGACTCCAAACCAAAACACAATCAGATTCTAAACAAGGTCTCACACCTAACATGCATTGTCTGACCTAAAATGTCACCTCTTCGTTACACTGAAAAAACCTTTAGTTCTCTCAGGGCAGTGACTTCACAGGAATTTGGGGATTTACATATACACATTAATCAATTAAAACCATCTAACTGATTAAAGATTTAACAACATCTTAGGTTTGTTTAATGCATCCTCATCAGTTGTGTGACCCTTTGATCTTTTACTTATTAAATTCTGTGTCTGATGCCACATCTCTCACGAACACCTGAGGAAGCAACAAGGCTCCGAAAGCTTGTGTTTTCAAATAAAACTGTTGGACTATAAGAGATAACAAGGTGTAGAGCTGGATGAACACAGCAGGCCAAGCAGCATCAGAGGAGCAGGAAAGCTGACGTTTCAGGTCTAGACCCTTCTTCAGAAAAAGGGTTCAGAAAAATCCTTTTCTGAAGAAGGGCCTAGACCCTTCAGGTCAGCTTTCCTGCTCCTCTGATGCTGCTTGGTCTGCTATGTTCATCCAGCTCTACACCTTGTTATCTCAGATTCTCCAGCATCGGCAGTTCCTACTATCTCTGTTGGACTATAACCTGGCTTTGTGTGATTTTTGAACTAAGAATAAGGTAGTAAAAAAAGGATAACTTAAAGAAAGTCCAAACTTTCCTTCTCCACTGCTGCAGCATCCTGCTGCCAGAGTCCCGCACATTTCTACCCCCCCCCCCCCCCCCCC